TATATTGAGCGGCACACACACAAAAGAGAGAGTATATATATATATATATATATATATATATATATATATATATATATATATATATATATATATATATACACACACACACACCAACAATGTCCGATTGGCGCACCAACCGGACATTGTGGTGGTGGATAAAGAACAGAGGAAAGTCTTTGTGGTGGATGTAGCAATACCAAGTGACCACAACATCAGGAAAAAGGAGAAACTGGAGAAATACCAGGGCCTCAGAGAGGAACTGGAGAAGGCCTGGAAGGTGAAGACCACAGTGGTGCCTGTGGTCATCGGGGCCCTCGGGGCGGTCAGCCGCAAACTGGAGCAGTGGCTCAAACAGATCCCAGGAACAACATCAGACATCTCAGTCCAATGTGCAGTTCTAGGCACAGCCAAGATACTGCGCAGAACCCTCAAGCTCCCAGGCCCCTCTGGTAGAGGACCCGAGCTCAGAGGATGAAAAGAGACCATCTGCAGAGGGTGAGAAGGGAATTTATATATATATACTTTAAATAAATACATACATTTCCACTGATTATTTATTGACTTATTTATTGGTCTTTACATTTTTACATGTATGTTTGTGATAGAAGAAGATCACTGTATGCCTTTTGTGAACTGAACTGGATTCTCTAGGGGACCTTTAGGGTGGTCAACGTTTTTTCCAGATGGGGCTATGGCCCCCCCTTGGGGACGCCACTGTGTTAGTTAGTATAATCTGCAGGCTTCTTCTTCTTCTTCTTCTTCTTCTTCTTCTTCTTCTTCTTCTTCTTCTTCTTCGTGTTTATTTTAGCATCAGAGCGAAAGTCTAACTCTTCTCTCCTCCCCTCCCTCTCAGTTTTTGGGTTGCTGGGGATCCGGGGGTTTGTGTTGCTGGCTTCTCTCGCTCAGCTGATGGTGACGTAGCTGCGCGGAATCGGAAGAGTGATTTTTATTTATTTATTTATTTTTATACGACCAGAGAAGGGCTGTGAGTGTGTATGCGTGTGTGTGTTGGGGGGCGGGGGGGCGGGGGGGCAATCATTTCACACCTTTAACGCGTGTGCAGCTCGGGCTTCTCAACAGAGGATGACAATCCACAGGAGGAAAAACACACACACACACACACACACATGCACACACACACGCAACCCGGCGTTCCTCTCTCAGATGCGCAAAGTCCAGCACGCAGCTCTGCGTGGCAACTTCGCCGAACACGCAACGGGTGAAAAACTGCGATCGTTAACAGGCTATCGATTGCGGTTTGTCACCGGCGCTTGAAAGAAAGGCTTTTCCTCCACATCCACTGGAGCGGCATCATAATTTCCAACGCTGTCGCGGAGGAGAGGAGGAGGAGGAGGAGGAGGAGAAGGAGGAGAGCGCTGATTCACGGCTTGCAGGAGGAGGCAGAGACGCTCGGACGGGCTCGAGAAGAAGAAGAAGATCCATCTCCCACCCAGCGTGCAGTCCTAAAATACCGAGCCACTCGCCTCCTCCTCCCTCGTTACTGACAGCTCTGCGACCCACCGGACCCCGTCCTGTTCCGGCCAGGGGAGGATTCTGGGGAGGAAGGGCGCCACGGCAAGGAGACGACGAAAGGCGATCGCCCTCCCCTTTGGCCCGGTTTGATCCTACTCATTCGGCAGTACAGTGGGCAGGCTGGGGGGTGCGAGGGGGTGTGTGGGGCGGGGGAGGGGGGGAGAGAGGACCTGCACGCTCCCTCTTGTTCATGAGGACGACACGGCAGCCTCGCGGTGGGATTGTGGTGTGCGGATTATTTTAGGACCAGCTCGGCAAAAACAACAACAACAAGAATAATAATAAGACTAATAATAACAATAAAGGGGGCGGACGGGAGCTGCTCAGCTGTCTCTACATAAAGCCACTCACATACAGATCCAGGTGAGTAATGATTAACGCGCAGCCATGCAAAGTGATACATGCATTACATAAAAAAAAAATAAATCAATGTGTTAGAGTGAGACGTTCTAGATGCACATGTAGAAATGATCACATTAGATAGTGATGATGATGATGATGATGGTGGTGGTGGTGGTGGTGATGATGATGTGAGCTGGATGTGCTCCATCAGCCTGCACGCGCTTCAATCTGACCATCATGCTGCAGACATGATCCATTACAACCGGCTCGGATGGATTCGTGATATTCTGTCTAAATGGGTGTGACAGTCAAATAACTGCCGTCTCAGAGAAATCTGGAGTTTTTATTTTTATTTATTTATGTGTCATAATCATCATCATTATTATTACTGTTATTAATTTATTGTCTGCGCTTCTCCTACACTCTTTGGAGTTGATTGGAGAGAACACACACACACACACACACACACACACACACACACACACACACAGAGAGAGAGAGAGAGAGAGAGAGACCTGCCTGCATCCTATAATAGGCTAAGTTACGGTGCGGACCTATGGGTGCTCCAGCAGGGGATTCCCCCCCTTCGTGGAGGCGATGGCATCCGTATAGTGAGCGAAACGGCCCTCATGATGATTAATCGGCGACAGCTGAGGCTCTCGGTGTGTCTGCTGAGTCCATGTTTACGCGCATCTCAAATAGCCTCCTTAAACGAGACCCACCTCCCAAAATAGGGGAAGGGGGGAAAAGGGATCCGCACGCAGATCCTGCCGCTCGGAGCCATGTAGCAACATACCGAGTGCAGAGCGACCTCTGAAACATGACAATAAACAAATAAGTCAAACAGCTAATAGTAGCTGTTTGAAATTGCACGTTGGTGTAACACTTTGCATGTATTTTATTTGGGTAGATACCGATGAAAAGAGTAAAAAGAAAATGTAGAGATGTAGTTTAAGCAGCTAGAAATAAATCTTTTAGATTCCAGAAATGTTTAGAATGTGCTTGCTACATTTTTAGCTAAATTCTGACTATATATATATATATATATATATATATATATATATATATATATATATATATATATCTTGACATACAGAAAGAGAGAGTGTTGAGGTGCACACAGA